CTATGTGCTAGGTACCAATGTAAGTGCTTTATAAATATTAACTGATTCAATATAAATCCAGAGTAGCTGATGACTCTTAAATGAGAGTTATTGAGGATACATTAAAGCCTTTTTTTAAAGTTGTATTCAAACATTTGCTGGTATTAGTGGAACATTTAGAGGGACACACTAAGGAATCAATGTAAGATGTGGTGGCCATGAAAGGAGCCTCTCAGTTCTCTGCAAGGAATGTAATTGACTTATAGTTCTGAGATCCACTGTGTTTGTGCAAGGGACACTAAGACAGGTCAGTTCCTGGGAGACACAGGACTCTTCTGATGGGGCACTGACTTGGGGGCTCATTATCTTAGCTGAAAATTTCTTAGCACTGCACCTCCAGACATTATCTGTCCAGTCATCCTTCCTATCCTCTTTGCTCCACATGGGTAAGACCTGCATCAGGATCCGATGACTCAGCCTTCTTCAGCTCCCTTCCCATTTTCCCTCACAGATGTTTTCCTAATAAATCTCTTGCACCCACTAATCTCATTTTGCAATTCCGCAGGGTCCAAATTAACACAATACTAATTATGACCTATCTGATTTAGTGATGATAATAATGATAGCATTCTTCAAGTACCAAATGATTTATCTATGTCATCTCATTTTATCCTTACAATAACTTTTTGGGTATTTCATATTATAAATGAGAAAACCAACTAAGTGGATAATTAGTCATTTGAGTGGTTCATTTATCTAGTAAATGGCAATGAAAAGTCTGAATCACTCTTCCCGATAGTCTTAACAAATATCAGTTGAGGTTCTTAGAGAATCATGTTCACTGTAACATTTTCTTAAACCTCATGAGATATTTTGAGGTTAATGTGACCAATTCATTGACCTGCCATAAGTCTATTATAATTTTTGTACTTTTTGCCCCCACTTTTTAATTTGAATTAAATGGATGACATTTAAAAAAGACAGGCATAAGTAGGTACAATTGGTAAGAAATGTTTTTCTTCTGCATAGTTCTTGACAAGTTAGCCATTTGCTCAGGTAAGCACACTCAGCACCAGCCAGATTAAAATTATATTAATTAGCAATAAGAGTAAAGTCCTTTAATGGGATTTCCAGGTCTTGGCTTTGGGGTAGCAGTATAATCTAGTGAATAAATCCATGGTCTATATTGAAATACATACTCTAAGTAACATTGGGCAAGTTAATTCAAAGATTGCTTCCTCATTTGAAAAATGGGAGCAAAAATAACTACATAGATTTTTGTAAAAATAAGGATGCATGCTGTGTATATCACTTATTACCACTGTGGTACCAATTAGCAACAATCCGTAAATTACAGTTATTATGTGTTAGTTTTCTTTGACTCTGCTCCCTGCCTAAGCAACAAATAAGAAAAGAATGTAAATATATGTGAATATATATTGGATCAGTGATTTTCTGTTTTTTTTTTTTTTTCAGATGGAGTTTTGCTCTTGTTGCCCAGGCTGAAGTGCAATGGCATGATCTTGGCTTGCCGCAACCTCTACCTCCTGGGTTCAAGCGATTCTCCTGCCTCAGCCTCCCAAGTAGCTGGGATTACAGGCATGTGCCACAACGCCTGGCTAATTTTTTGTATTTTTAGTAGAAGACGGGGTTTCTCCATGTTGGTCAGGCTGGTCTCAAACTCCCGACCTCAAGTGATCTGCCCCCACCTCGGCCTCCCAAAGTGCTGGGATTACAGGTGTGAGCCACTGTGCCCGGCAGGATCAGTGATTTTCAAACTTTCGTGTATATGAGAATTACCTGGAGGACTCATGAAAGTAGATTGCTGAGCCCCACCTCAGAAATACTGATTAAGTAGCTCAGAGATGCAGCTGGAGACATTGCAGGGCGCACAAATTCCCCAGGTGCTACTGAGGCTGGGAATTGCAGGACAGCCACTACTTTATAATCATAAAGCTCCACTTCCATCTAGTGGTTGAGGTACAAAATACAATGAATATACAGTTTTAACACGCATTGTTTCGTTGAATTCTCCTAACACTCCATGAAGTAAGTACTATCTTCACTTTACAAATGGTAAAACTGAGCTGTGAGGGTGATGAAGTAACCTGCCTAATGTTTTTCAGGTATCTGGAGAACTGATGATTAGCTTCAAGGCTGTCAGACTCCAAAGCCAAAGCTCTCAGTCAGTATGTTATCCTGTCTAAACATCCTTCGAACCGTCTTTCCTCGGTAATTCCACTTCTGAGGAAATAACCAGAAATACAGACAAAGAGAGATCGAGATATCTATTACAATATGATTTATAATAGTGAAAATTCATAGGAAACTTTAAGTCCATCATCAAGGGATTGGTAATATAGGGATACTTCAAAATATTTTGCAGACAACTGAAGTGAAATATCATGTTTTTTAAAATTTATGGAAATTGATATACAATGGGAAGAGGAAAATGTAGGATTTTGCATAAAGGAGTGACTTTAAGAAAATTCCCAGCCGGGCGCAGTGGTTCATGCCTGTAATCTCAGCACTCTGGGAGGCCGAGGCGGGCGGATCACAAGGTCAGGAGATCGAGACCATCCTGGCTAACACAGTGAAACCCCATTCTACTAAAAATACAAAAAATTAGCCAGGTGTGGTGGCGGGTGCTTGTAGTCCCAGCTACTTTGGAGGCTGAGGCAGAAGAATGGCCAGAACCTGGGAGGCGGAGCTTGCAGTGAGCCAAGATCTTGCCATTGCACTCCAGCCTGGGTGACAGAGCGAGACTCCCTCTCAAAAAAGAAAAAAAAAAAAAGAAAATTCCCTACACATACATGGGAAAAGACTTGAGGGAAATAGGCCAAAATGTTATTTTTTTGTTTCCTTTTACATTTTAGTATAGAATGTTCCAAATATTCTACAAAGATTGTATATTTTATAATTAGAAAAGTGTTAATCATTATTAAACTTTTAATATTAATGAATACATTAATACTAATTTTGGTGAAATTCTATATTTTTATTCATTTGCATAAGATAAAGAGAGTGGTATTTACTTAGAATCTACTCTGTACTCAGCACAGTGCTATGAGGGCCACGTAAGAATAAGAAGAACTGGGTCTCACTTTTTCAATTTTCTTCTATAGGCAAAACTAACACAGGAAAAAATTAGCACACAGTAAAAGACACATTTGTTATTAAATATTAAAGATCGGCTGGGTGTGGTGGCTTACACCTGTAATCTCAGCACACGCGGAGGCTGAGGTGTGTGGATCGCTTGAGGCCAGGAATTCGAGAACAACCTGGCCCACATGACAAAACCCCTGCTCTACTAAAAATACAAAAATTAGCTGGGTGTAGTGTCCCTTGTCTGTAATCCCAGCTACTCAGGAGGTTGAGGCATGAGAATCACTTGAACCCGGGAGGTGAAAGTTGCAGTGAGCTAAGATCGCATCACTGCACTCCAGCCTGGGCAACAGAGCACAACTGTCTCAAATAAATAAATAAATAAATAAATAAATAAATAAATAAATATTAAAGATCATGTACTGTGAGCTTTCAGGGAAGCTGGGTTGTAAGGAACTCATATCTGGCATCCAGGCTTGCAAATGCATACCTGTGCTGATGACATCAAGAGTTTTCTGGGCCGGGCACAGTGGCTCATGCCTATAATCCCAGAACTTTGGGAGGCCAAGGTGGACGGATCACTTGAGGTCACGGGTTTGAGACCAGCCTGACCAACATGGTGAAACCCTGTCTCTATTAAAAATACAAAACTTAGCCACGCCTGGTGGCACACATTTGTAATCTCAGCTACTCAGGAGGCTGAGGCATGAGAATTGTTTCAACTCGGGAGGCAGAGTTTGCAGTGAGCCGAGATCATGCCACTGCACTCCAGCCTGGGCAACAGAGCAAGACTCCATCTCACACACACACAAAAAAAAAAGAAAAAGAAAAAGAAAAAAAAAAAGAAAAAGAAAAAAAAAGAAAACAGTTATTTTCTGGAGAGACATTTTACCTTCTTTTTACGGTGTGTTTTCAAATTCAAAATATGTTTTCTTTTGGTCACACTATACTTTTTTAGAAAAAAGATTTACCTATGCTCAAGACAGCTTGGAAGGGTCATACTATACTTTTTACATTTTACATTGCAGCAATCTCAGATGGCAGTTTAAGCAGCAGCGTCTCATAAATTCAGATATGTCAACATATTTGCCAAAACAATTATGTGAACCCATACATTTTGGTGAAATATGAAGTGAGTATCTTGTAATGAAAGTACTCATATTGAGATTTCAAAAAAATCATTTGGAAAAATAAACTAGTGAAACAATAACATTTTTATTTTGAAAGGATAATTCTTAAAAGACAGTTTTATACAGAATAAGTTAATGAATTTTTCAATGTGTGGTTAAAATATAAAACTGGCCAGGGGGAGGGGAATGTAAGCACTAGGGGATGGCCTGGATAATCTACCTCTAAGGTCCCTTCTTACACTGAAATTCTATGATGGAAATGTTGCTGAATATATAAAGCTACAGAGTGGTGGCTCATTCAGTATCCCAGATGGTCGCCTTTCAGGAAAAGCAGACTATGATGTTTTCATGGGAGTGTTGAAAGTCATTAAAAAATCAATTGATATATATTTATTGGGTACCTTCTATGTTCAAGACACTGTGCTAGGTGCTTTAGAAGCTTCAAGGGCAAGATTCCTTTTCTCAGGAAGTTTTCAACATTGTATTTCCCCAAATGTTTGAGATCTTCTTATGAAGTCTGCCCCTGAGCATTTATCCCAAGAAATCTCTTAAAGTTATAAAGTATGCTTTTAGGCAATTCTGAGAATGTTTCCTGCTCTAGGCAAGGGATATCCAGATAATAGGCCAACATGTTATTAATAAGAATAATAATCACTGATGTATTATAAGCAAGGTATATAGAAATATCCAGTTTTCAAAATAATTTACACAATTTATTCAAGATACCAAGAAAGAGTGTCTGTAAATAATTCTGCATGGACTTGAAGAATGTTTAATAGTAGCACATACTAGTAGAATCGCTTATGTTGAACTAGTAAAACAAAACAAAACAAAACACAACTAAACATTGAGTTTTTATTTAAGAGAGTGTTTCCCAAAATGTCTTCTACAGATCCTGCGGATTATAACTTGGCGGTGTATGGCAAGTCCTAGTCCTTTTTCCTGGATGTGCAGTCTCAGAGCGGCAGTTTCTTCAGTTCCTCATTCTCCACCTTCCTAAGCCTTTTCCCTAGGCTGCTAGTCCTGGGTATCCTATCTTCCCTTCTCCTTAAATACGTCTCTCTAACTGAACTGTGTCTACTTGGTAGAGACCCTAAGATAACTAAAAACAAAGTAGCTATCAGTGTCTACCATTTCCAAAATAAGTTCTATAATGATGGTTAAGCTGGGTCAATAAAAAATTAGGGTACGATTTAGAGAGTGGATACAAAAAGGAAGAGAGTGACATGCAGTCTTAAGATGAAAATGGTGTAGCAGGGAAAAAGATAAACTGAAGGGAAGAAAGGAGTCAGAGAGGAGAGGGATTAGTTGACAAATGGTACATTGGGAGACAAAACAGATAGGTGGGAAGAGAGGAAGACATAATGGAGGAGGTAGACATAAAGAAAACACTAGTAATGGTTAAAATAGCGAGCTTAATATGTAAGAAGTGATACATAGAAAAAGATGAGGAATAGAAAGCTAAATACAGAAAGTTTGAGGGAGAGAGAAAAGAAGGAAGAAAGCTAAGAAAAGGAAATGATAAAGGTAAAGAGAGTGGCAGTGGAAGAAAAAAATGCTTGAAGAGAATATTGAGTAGGAAAAAACCTGACAAGATCAACACAAGAAAAAAATGTACAGTGCATTAGGACTATACTGATTTGTGGATCTCCATGTGTAGAATGGAAAGTTAATCTGCGTTTCAGTCTTGAAAAACCAATTTTGCAAGAATGGAACTTTGAGAGCAAAAGGAGAAGTCATCAGGCAAAAGGAAATTAACTCAGACAAGTGACTTCCAAGTTTCGAGGCAGGGATGGTCATGATCTTCTTGCTTTTTTAAGGTCTGCACTAATTTGTGAAAGTGCTAGATCTGGTGATCCCCAGAGGCCCAATCTCAGCTCCATCTGGGTTGCTACTCCTAGCTCCACCTGGGTTGCTACTCCTATTGCTGAGAGGGGAGAAAACTCAAGGATCACCAAGACAGTCAGATACTTAATTAAGTCTTGGGGAAAAAATTTTGGGAACCATTGATATAGAATGTCAGTGATTTCTCTTCCCCCCAAGAATGCTTGGTTGAGATAACCCCTAGGCCTGAAGTAGTAAGCAGTCTTGTACCTGGTCCTCTGCATTGGTCCCTCTTTGAAATAATTCAAATGGACTGTGTTCACTTGCATCAAGTGGGTCTGCATTTGTACTCTTAAATTGTTCCCCAGTAGCTAACTCAACCAATGTGTTAGGATTTTCAGTAGGCATAATTGAATCCCCATCAAATGGGCTTTGCCTTCCATTGCTAGATGGAGTTCCAGTGCTGGAAGAGTGATGCTTTGCTAATTTGGAGCCAAAGCATGGCAAATGCAGGATGTTAGATGGTCTTTGTTGCTGTCTCTCACTCTCATTTTCTTGGACTTGACTTTGGATGCCTTCTGGATTGGAGCCTTCATCAGGTGTACCAATAACAAGCTGCTCAGGAGTAAGGTCAACTGTTCTTTCATTGAGCTGGTTGTCTTCAAAAATTTGTTCCAGAATGTTGTTCCCATCTCCTCCAAGATCATTTTTGAGACAAGGTGTATTCTTTGCTTGAAGGGAACCGACTTCAGGAAATGGCATAATTCCCTTTTGGCCCAGTTGATTATTTATAGAACATGGTGTGTTCCTCCTCAGAGTGGACACATCATCTCTAAAAGGGTTTTCATTTTCCATCTTCTCTGAGCTGTTTCTTTGGCCTGGTAGGGTGCTTGTTGGGGAGATGATATGTCTTGTGTGCTTGCTATGACTACCTTCTGTATACAGAGGACTGGTGTCTTGGTTCTCCCCAGGGGCAAGACCATAGGATGGAGTGTAGTCTTGTAGAGCTAGTGGATTGTCCTTGGGCCCCGTGGAGCTACCAGTACAGCAAGAGCCTCTCTGGCTTAGGTGAAATAAATGTGCCTCTTTTTGACCTGATGGGTAACTTTGTGGGATGAAGTGAGGGAAAGATGAATGTTCTCTCTCTGGAGAATTCATCCTAGTCATTTGCATGCCATAGTTCAAATTCTCACCTTCATGCCACATTGGATTTTTCTGAAGCCCAACTGGGGTGTTACTGGAATAGGGCTGGTTACCTTTCTGGTCTGGTGGCCTAGCTGGGGCTTTTTGTAAATGTGTTGCCCGATCCCAGATATTTCTGTTAAAATATGGCCTTCTTTCTTTCTGACCTTGGGCTTGTATCCTGTGGTCCCAGGAATTCCATGAAGGAAATAGATTGCTTTCTTCTGGTCTAACAGCATTATTAACATAGTAACCCCTGCTCTCTGTAGGTGGTGACATAGTAGGAGCTGTATTATATGATGGAAAATTCTCATCCGGGTTCCATGGGTAGAATTCACTATAATAAAAATCCTCCCTTGGTTTTGATGGATTGTCTAAAGAATAGGGAGGATATTCCTTTGGCTGATTTGAGGTATATTGTTCACCTTCATAGTGCCTAACTGTTGGGCCCCCTTTAAAGCTCAACTCTTCACCCCATCTATTTTGTCCAGGAAAGACTTCATCTCCAGTTGGATCAATTGGGTCTTCTTCATTATAAGGGACTGTCTCCTTGTGGTCTGGAGTATTTATGGGGTAGAGTGAACTTTCTTTTTGCCCCATAGTATTGGGAGAATCATCTCTCTCATCCCATGTATTGCTTCTAAGGTATGGTGAGTTTTCCCTGGGATCATAGGGGTTATATTCAGGGTAGAAAACCCTTCCTCTAGAACCATGGGAAGGATGGGGTAAATGTTCTTCTTGCCTCCCAGGATGTTCCTTAAAAGGTGGAGAGATTTCTTGGTGGTCCCAAGTATTTCTTCCAGCAGGAAAATATTCTTTTGCAGAAGGGATTTCCTCAGGGTGTGCAGCAGGCTGATATGCGCTGTGCTTTAATTCTGGCTGATTAGTTTCTGATTCATATGGGATCCTTCTTGGCGCTAAAACCATCCCTTTGGGCAAAATCTGGCTTTGGGTTTGTCCATCAGAATTTGGTACTTTTCTGGAATCTTCTCTTGGGTAATAGGAGTTTTCATGTTGATCAACAGAATTAAAATTTGGGACTGGCGTATAACCCTCGGAGTGAGGTAGTTTATAATTTGATTTATTAACTTCATACTGTTGAGAGTTTCTCCCGGGGCTGGTTGGATTCTTTGTAGGAACTATTATTTGTTCTTTTGGACCCAGGTGCTTCTCCCTTGGATTTTGGATTTTTTCATTGTGAACAACAGGGCCATGTTTGGGACCAACTGGGGCAACATTAGTTCCCATAGGGTGTTTATTTGGCCCCTGAGGCTTTCTTCTGAGATTTGCTGGATTTCCTGCATAATTGGGATAATTGCCTCTTGAAGTAGAAGGGTAAACTTTGTGATAAACTGGATTTCCTGGACGAACTACTTGTTTACCTTCCCAAGCGAAGGAGTTCCACTGAGGACCCCTTTGAACTTGTCGATTTCTGTAAAAAGGCCCATTCTGTCTGTGCCCCATGGCAGTACCAGTGGGATACCACCGTCTTCCTGAAGGAAAATATCTTATATTAGGATTTGGATGATTTTCACGAATATTTGGCTGACTTGGTCTCCATGGGATTTGACTTCCTGGCCCTCCCTGGCCTGAAGTGTTGACTGCAGGGAGCGGGACAATCCCATTTTGAGCTGGCGGGTTGTTCCCAGTGTTCGGTCCTGGGATACTGTTTCCTGTGGGGCTGGTGTCATTTCCGCCCTGACTCCCTTTAGGATTTGATTGGGTAGAATTCGTCTCAGTAACTGTTGAATTAGCTGTGGGTTCTGTGCCTGGACTTTCTGCTTTAGGAGGATCTTCTTCTTTGGGTTTTTCAAAATCTTGTTCAAACATTTCTTCTGAATAATAAGGAGGGCGACCTCCAAAGCCATGATATCCAAAATATCCAAAGTAAGGATTCTGTAGGAAAGAAAATGGAAATCAGTATTACCCTTTGTTTCCCACCATGGTGTTGCTTGGAACTTTTTAGTATAACAGGGAAATCTTATCAGTCACATGTTTCTTTTAACATCATTAGCTTTACTTTCTTTCTCAAAATTTGATTCCTCCTTGGTTTCCATGACCATACTTTTTCTGGTTCTCTCTTCTGGTATTTTTTTCTGACCACTGCTCAGCTTTCTCTTTTTAGGTCTTATACATCTGAGGGTTTTTTGTTTTGTTTTTAATGATTTCATTTTCCATCTTCCTAATTTTTCTGTTTTCTTTTTACATATCTCTTTTAAGATTTCTATTGCTTCTGTAATGCCAGCACTTTGGAAGGCCGAGGCAGGCGGATCACGAGGTCAAGAGATTGAGACCACCCTGGCCAACATGGTGAAACCCCATCTCTACTAAAAGTACAAAAATTAGCTGGGTGTGGTGGTGCGCATGCCTGAGGTCCCAGTTACTCAGGTGGGTGAGGCAGGATAATCGCCTGAACCCAGGAGGTGGAGGTTGCAATGAGCCCAGATAGTGCCACTGCATTCCAGCCTGGTGACAGAGCAAGACTCTGTCTCAAAAACAAACAAACAAAATAAATAAAAGAAGAAGAATTCTATTGCATCAGCCCATGCTTTCAATAGGCATACATGCTAACAACTCCCAAAGGCATAATTCTAACCCACAACACTCCCACCCAAGGTTGAGGCAGCAAAACATCTCCACTAAAGATTTCATGAGTACCTCCAACTGAATGCACCCAGAACTGGGCTCATCTCCTGCCAAATCTCCTCCTCCAATGTTCTATATTTGAGCAACATTCACCACTATCTGTACAGTTTCTCAAGTTTCTGCTCTCTCTTAGTACTCCAGACTATTAATAACCAGGTCCTATACAAATCTAAGCTTTCATCCTTGTTCCCACTTCCTTAATCCACAGTACCCCTGAACTGTTAGAATAGTTTTCTTACTGGCTACTCTGGATGCAGTCTTACTTTCCTTTAATCTTGCTTCTGCATTGTCATCATAGTAGTAGAGGCTGAGAGTGGGTATATGGAAATTTGGCCCCTTTCCTCTTTAAATTTGTATTTAAAGTTCTCTTTTACAAAATAAATTCTAAATCCCTTAGCATAACATACAAAGCAGTACAACATGCTGCTAAAGAGTGGGGCTCTAGGCAGATGTGCATTAAAATCCCCATTCCACCAGTATTAGTAGTATGATTGTGGGTTAACCTTGGTTTATTCATTTGTAATATGGGGATGATAATAAAATAACGTCTACCTCATAGGTTGTCATGAGGATCAAATGGGACAAAATGAGTACAGATCAGTGCCGGGTACTTAGTGCCTAATAAGTGTTATATATTGTATAATAATATAATTTTTTAATAATAATCTGGGCTATAACTATTACTTTCAGCCTCATTTCCTCCCCCTTGCACTTTATGCAGTTGCAAATCACAACTACTCTGAATTCTCTGGGTTCTCTATTCTTTTTATGTTTCAGTGCCTTTGCACACAGCTCATTCATATTGAAACTTCTTCCACCGACACATTTATTCCCCTGGCAAAGTTGACTCGTCCTTCAGAGCTCAGTTTGACTTCTACCTTCTGTGTCTTGACTTCCATGGGCAGAATTAGGTCCTATTCCTAGGAGTCCACAGCAGTACAGGTTTCTGTCATCACAATCATCCCACTGAATTTCAGTTGCCTGTTTTCCTGGGATTCTTCCATTTAATTCTCTCATGTGAAGATTTGGAATGAAAACATTATGTTTCTCATCCTTGTTTTCCAGTACCGAGGAGTGGGGAATGTTCTTAATAAATTTTCATTTAATGAATGATTTAATCATCACGAATTCTGTCAGTCAGTATGTTTGTTAGACATTTGTGTGGCATTTAGATAGTTTGATTTTTCTTTGAAAACAAATGAAATATAAAGAAAAAGTATTTTAATCCCCATTTGTTGATGGAGATGAGACAGACAGGCGAGGAAGTAACAAGATCATGCAGGAAATCAGGTAGTGCCCTCAAGAGGTAGACTACAGACATCTTAGGTTTTGAGACAGGGTTTCTCTTTGTCACCCAGGCTGGAGTGCAGTGGCAAGATCAGGGTTCACTGCAGCCTTGACTTCCCAGGCTAAAGTGATCCTCCCACTTCAGCCTCCTGAGTAGCTGGGACCACAGTTGCATGCCACCACATTCACCTAACATTTATTTTAGTCTCCCTATGTTGCCCAGGCTGGTCTTGAAATTCTGGGCTTAGGCGATCCTCCTGTCTCAACCTCCCAAAGTGTTGGGATTACAGGTGTGAACCATTGTGCCTGTCTAAATTCAGATTTCTTTCCTTTTTGTTTTTTGAGACTGAGTCTCGCTCTGTCGCCCAGGCTAGAGTGCAACGCTGAGATCTTAGCTCACTGCAACCTCCCCCTCCTGGGTTCAAGTGATTCTTCTGCCTCAGGCTCCACAGTAGCTGGGATTACAGGCCAGTACCACCACACCTGGCTAATTTTTGTATTCTTAGTACAGATGGGATTTCACCATGTTGGCCAGGCTGGTCTCAAACTCCTTACCTCAAGTGATCCACCCGCCTCAGCCTCCCAAAGCTGGGATTATAGGTGTGAGCCACCTGTGCCTGGCCTGAATACAGGCTTCTTAAAGCCTATGATAACTGCCTGGACCTTTCTGCTTCCTTTCTTATCTTACGCATATGAAAATTTGAAGTGCCAGTTTCTAGGTTGCATACAATTATCTGAATCATTTTTATTTGGGGTTATTTCATGATACATTTGAGAGCGCCTTATACCATTACTGACACAGTCATCTTCAATGTTATTTTAAGAACAATCTCTGCCAGGTGCGGTGGCTCATGCCTGTAATCCCAGCACTTTGGGAGGCTGAGGTGGCTGGATCACTTGAGGCCAGGAGTTCGATACCAGTCTGGTCAACATGGTGAAATCCCATCTTTACAAAAATACAAAAATTAGCCAGGTGTGATGGCACACACCTGTAATCTCAGCTACTCCGGAGGCTGAGGTATGAGAATTGAATTGCTTGAATCCAGAAGGTGGAGGTTGCAGTGAACCGAGATTGTGCTACTGCACTCCAGCCTGGGTGACAGAGCGAGACTCTGTCTTACAAAAAAAAAGAAAAGAAAGAAAGAAAAGAAAGTGGCAGTCATTGCAGGGACTGAGCAGAGGAGCGACAAGATTAGACTATTGTTTTCACAGGGTCACTCTGGCTGCTACGCTAACAATAGATTGTGAGAGATGAAAATACTTACAAAATGTATATATACATAATCTTAAAACTGAAAGGGACCTCTTAGAGCAAGTAATGCCAACCTCTCTTTTGTTTGAGACAGTCTCGCTCTGTCACCCAGGCTGGAGTGCAGTGGTGCAGTGGCTCACTGCAACCTCCACCCCCCAGGCTCAAGTGGTGTCCCACCTGTCTCAAAAAAAAAAAAAAAAAAAAAAAAAGAAGAAAAGAACAATCTGTCCCCCACCCCCCAGTAAAGCTATTAAGTTACCACAGTTCACTGAGGACATGTCACATATTCAGGGAAAAAACAGTAAGTTCCAGGGGGGTGGGGTGCTATGTCACAATCACTAAAATGACTTTTTAGATGACAGTGCTGGAATATTAAGAGTATATCACTCTGTGATAGACATTTGGTTCTTCTCCTAGTGTGGTATAGTAAAAAGGCCATTGAACAGAGTAACAGAAGACTTGGGTGCTGGGTTCAGTTTATCCATAACTTAAAAGTGAAATTGAGTAGTAACTGATTTTTCTTGGCTTCAATTTATTTGTATTAATATAATCAGGAAGTTAGATATCACTTAATTTCCTCTTGAGGATAACATTCTAAGAAACTCTTACTTTTTTTCTCTTTTTATCACTGTCTGGAGTCCAGCATCAATCTTTGGACCACTAGCTTGATTTGTTTCACTTTTTTATTTTCTAAAAATCATGGAAGCTTGAGCTACAGGTTCATGTGTTGGATTTTAACTTTTTTATTAGATGTGGATAAAAAAGCAGGGGTGAATAGATTGTAATTTCTAGTGGAGAATATAGTTTTGCTTGTACTTACCCCGCCTTCTTCATTGCTGGCTGGTGGGCGTCCATAACCTGGTGGCGGTAACCTCTGAGAAGTGAAAAACACAGTGAACACAGGAGAAAACCACTTTCGATGCTACCATTTGTAAGACTCAGGGTGTCTAAAAATAGCTCAAGTCAGTGATCGAGCTCAGTTAGTACTCTGAGCTTTTAGCTTTTGAATTATTAGCTCTCACAGTCCAGCTGCTAAGAATTATGATCTAACAGTGAACACTGGTAAATACAAAGGCTTCAGCTGGATCCCAGATTATCCTACTTAAAATACTCTGTATGGCTGCATCTCCTGGCAATCCTCCTTACCACTTCTAACACTCAAAACACCCTCCACAACCCCCAACAAACACACACCATGCACACACATACAGAGAGAGAGGGTGAGAGAGAGAAATTTGAGTGCTGTTAGAATCCAAGCATCCGTATTAGAACATTTAATAATAGAGATTAAGTGACAATGTTATTTTTAGAATGTGGCTTCATGTTTAGGGAGACAAACTGCAAACTGACAATCCTTGGATTATTACTATGATATTTTTATTTGACTAAAGTTAATTCTCCTAATCAAACTTGGAGGCCGAGTTTCTGCCTCTCAAGTTTTATGTAGATGAGATTAATAGTTACTTCAGCATTAGAATCATGTTTATCTGTTTTAAAAATCTTTACCTTATACTGCCTTAATTTCCTTAGTTCAGCATAGGTAGTAAAAGAAAGTCACTCTTTCAAGGAGGAAAAAATGTAAGGAACTCTTACTCTTTAAAATGAACTGTTCCTCATTGATAAAAAGCCTTCCTGGTTATAGAGTTGTAGACAAGGAAAACCTGTGTCATAGCTGAATGAACAGTCAACAAATATTTCCTGGCTGGGCGCGGTGGCTCACGCCTGTAATCCCAGCACTTTGGGAGGCCGAGGCGGGCGGATCACAAGGTCAGGAGATCGAGACCACGGTGAAACCCCGTCTCTACTAAAAATACAAAAAAAAAAAAAAAAAAATTAGCCAGTCGCGGTAGTGGGCGCCTGTAGTCCCAGCTACTCAGGAGGCTGAGGCAGGATAATGGCGTGAACCCGGGAGGCGAAGCTCGCAGTGAGCCGAGATCGCGACACTGTACTCCAGCCTGGGGGACACAGCGAGACTCCGT